CTTAAAGGGGACACCCTGCTGGATCGAACAGCGGACCTGCCCGTTATTCCCGGAGTCTTTGTCCTGAACATTAATGATGCCCACCTCTGTACCAGTTGGCACGTTCTCCGGTGTGGGGTTAGTGAGTGATTTTACAAATATCCCTGGGGGGTTATCATTTACATCAGTTACATCTATTAACACTTTGGCATAAGAAGTTAGACCTAAACCATCTTTCGCTTCTGCTCTCATTTCAAAAGAATTTCTGTCTTCAAAGTCAATCATAGCAGTTACTTTAATGTCTCCCGTTTTAGGATCAATGGAAAATACATTTATGTCGTCGTCAGACACGTGACTTAAGTCATACGTTACATCTCCGTTCAGTCTTTCGTCTGCGTCTGTCGCACTGACTTTAATCACTGTTGTATCTAAAGGACAGTTTTCAGGCAGACTGGCCTTATAAACAGCCTGGCTGAACACTGGGGCGTTATCATTAGCATCCAGCACAGTGACGTGTATGACTACGGTGCCGGATCTCTGAGGAGATCCACCGTCCAAAGCTGTGAGAAGTAAATTCATCTCGCTTTGTTTCTCTCTATCAAGAGTGTTTTCCAGTACGAGTTCAACCTTGTTGCTATCAACAGCCAGAATAAAGTTGTCGTTCTTTTGAAGCTCGTACCTTTGCACAGCATTTTGACCAATATCTGCGTCACGGGCCTGCTCTATTGAGAAGCGGTTACCTCTGTCTGCCGACTCGCGTATTTCCATCTCAATCAAATTCTTTTTGAATTTTGGCGAGTTGTCGTTCACGTCTTGTATATGAAGACTTACACGATGAAGCTCTAAAGGATTTTCTAACACCAGATCCACTTGCACAACACATGAAGGTTTCTTGGCACAAAGGCTTTCTCTGTCGATTCTCTCCGATGTGATCAGATCCCCCGTTCTCAGATTAATATCACAGTAACGCTTATGAGTGCCCTCAAAATTAATACGAGCCTTCCGGGAAGATAAAGTCCTCAAATCAAAACCGAGATCCTTGGCTATATTTCCAATCACTGAGTCTCGTTTCATCTCCTCGGGAAAGGAATAGCTCAGATCTCCATAAACGAGGTGCAATGTTACAAAAATGGAATAAATGCAGAAGATCGGGCCTTGAGCTGAAAATCCTTTGTCCCGCATCCTGACAAAAATCGACCGTCAATTTCAAAGAAAATGTACTGTGCAGCACAAAAAAAAAAAAAAGATGGTCGGACCAAGACAACCAAATGTTCGGCTATTTGGTAAGAATTTGCGCCATCTCTATCCGGGATTTTACCAGATTATCCAGACACTTTACAACTGATTTCGATGCAATAGTGGGTGGAGTGGCGAGAGATTATTTTCTGTTAGACAAGGGCGACACCACGAGTTACTTTATCATCTTCACACCAGAACGTATTTAAATATTTTCGCAATTTAAATCCGGATTGTGGCAGCAATTCATCATATTTAAATTACCTGTGATTATCAGCTTAAAACTTCCGTGTGATTTCTGCAATATAATAGACTAAGCACGGGATGAAGGTCTTCACTTCACAGGTATACCGTATGCCTGTCCGTGTAAACGAGATGTGGATTGTAATTTATACATATATTGCCTTTGCTTTTGCTAGGTAAAAGTTTGCATAAACCGTATTCCTAAACATTATTATTGCGAAATGTTTAAATCTCCAAAAAAGAGGGCCAACAAACTTTGAGTGTATAAACACTGTACATTTTTAACAGTAAAAGAACGTGTTATCCTAAAGTGCGTCAGGGCATTTGGATGAGTTACAATACATTATACATTTTGTTACATATGAAACTAATTAATATAACAGAAATGCATTCTGAATAGCCGAGCCTGGGCTGACACAGAGACAATAGCCCGTTTTTAATTACACTACCTAAGACCTTACCATCGATTAAACATGGCGAAATCTTGTAAAAATGTTCCATCAGTCCAGAAGCCTCTTACTTGTGGCGTCTCCTTTTTGTGCTGGGGTGTGAAGTTAACCACAGTAAACCATCCCACCCCCCAGGCGAGTATGATACAACAGAAGAGGTATGTATCGCGCTCTTCTCAATATTGGTAGTTTTGGACATAAACTATTCTCTGCCTCGAACTGTTTGCAAGGTAGAAATTGCTGGCATGTTGTGTCATCTGTTGCTGCTGGGTCGGGAAGCGCTCCTCTCCTGTCTAGGTGGAGTAGTTCAGTGGGCCTGGTATGTATTAGCTAACCTTTCCTCTGCGTTCGGCTTTGAATTTAAATTGCCGATTTATTAAATGTAATATGTCACTTTTTATATATAAAAGCTGCTGCCTCTCTTCGGGATGCCTCGCTGTTGTGTTTCTCCGTTTTGTACTTCTCTTTGGTTCTCGTTTATGCTGCTTTATTTATTTTTTTGTTATGTTATGATTTGTTCACTGGTATTGTTTGCGTCATCGGCATTCAGCGGTGCTTCGCTCATCGCTCTGCCACTGTTCGACATCCTAATTGAGACCTTAATTATTTTAATTTATGTAAGTTTCTGTACATATCTGTTGTAAGGTTAATGTTGCAATTATATTTATTTCACCAAGAATCGTTTAATTTATTTCGCTAGAACTGTTGTTACGTTAATGTAGCCTATTATAGGATTC